AAACTTTGGTTTTGTTTTTAGAATAAAATTGCGTTATTTGTTAAAATTTTATGAATTTCTTATTTTTCAGTTTAATTAATATGTAGGTGGTCAACAAGATTTAAGGAAAAATATGTCTTTAATCACTATTTCTCGTCACCAGAAATGGAAATAAGAGATACAAATTCAACAAGGATTTCAGGACCCGAGGTGTGTATGTAAATATTTTATAAAAATTAATTTTTATACTAAAGTAAGAGAAAAAAAATTTGCACCTAGTTAAAATCAATAAAATAAACATCACGTCAATAAATTAACAAAATACAATAAAAATATAAAATATTTAAATTTACAAATCATTGATCATTTAAGAGTCATAAATTTTTCAAATTATACATAAACGCCACCAGAAGTACAGAAAAGATCTTGAAAAGATATTACACAGGCGCATTAGTCTAAGGAAACCTTATAAATTTTACTAAGCTCTTGGTGCCGTAAAGATAGAATTAACGAGAAGTTTTCCTTTTTTTAAATTCAAGCTTTAAAGTAAAAAAAAAATTAATTAATCTATATTTATGTTTGAAATAGATATAAAATTCAAAAATAAACTTTTAAAATTTACTTAAAACGTTATTTAAATTACAACTAATTTTCTTCAGTTACTGAAGAAAGTTTTTCTTTAAAAAATTTTTTTAAATTAAATTAAAAAAAAATTTCTTTTTAATTTCTTGAAATTAAATTAATATTTTTTAATTCATTTAAATTTACAGATGACCCAATGTATTGATGGACAAATGTCAAATGTTTTTCTTTAAGAAAAAATTTTTTTAAAACATTTAAAAAAAAATTTTTTTTTAAATTTTTTGAAATTAAATTAATATTTTTTAATTCATTTAAATTTACAGATGACCCAATGTATTGACGGACAAATGGCGAAACCTATCAATACACCTCAAAATTCCGATGAGCAGGAGCAATTCTGGTCATCAAAATCAGAAGACAGTGAACAGAGGGAAAACAGAAAAAATCGAAGAAAAGAATGTGTTATACAAGGCCAGAGGGCATGTGCAAGAATAGGTCATTGCTTAGTACGAGCTTTGGCCTGTGTTTTTGATTAAATAATAATTTATAATATTAAATATTTAAAAAAAAAATTTTCCCAAAAACAAAAAGTGAATGGTTGTTCGTCGAATGAATTTATGGGAGAAAATGTATACTTTCTGTAACAAAAGAACCTTTTCACCTTTCGTTGTAAATACTTCATTTTAACCAAAAGGCATAATATGAAAAATTGCAAAAATTAATTTTTAATTTTTTGATATTTTTTAATTTTTTTAATTACATCAATGATATATTTTTCTTCGATTCGGAATTCTATTTTTATTGCTAATTTGTTATTATCACTGATATATTTTACCATTGTATTGTTATTGTTGTAATTGTTGTTAATGTTGATGAAAAAATGCGTAACATTTATATTATGTATGTGAGAAAAAAAATACTACTACTACTACTACTACTACCACCATTATAAATATGCGACAATTTTTGTGTTATAATTTATGTAATATGTTATCTTAGTGTTATTTCTCATTGTTAATATTATTGAAAATAGTAAATGCAAACTACTGGCAAACTGATATTAGTATATTATGTATCTTTATAGTTTTTTATCCATATATTTAAACAAAAGTGTAATATTTATATATATGAATAAGATATATGTATAATAATCAGTGTCAATAGTTTTTTGTTATACAGTTAGCATCATTTTATGTACTTGTTTTAAAAAAAAATATCTACGATTTTTAATTTCTACTAATTAGAATATATTTATTGAAAATATTATTGTTTGTCAAAAAAAATGTCACACAACAACAACAAAAATTGTGAAATTTAATAAAATTTAAAAACCACTTATTAAATTGTTCATTTTTTGGAGTTTGGACACGACGAACCATGGGAAGAAAAAAAGCAATTATTTAAATAATTGCAGAAATTCAATTTTTTAAATAATTGAAAAAATTCAATTATTTAAATAATAACAAAAATTCAATTATTTAAATAATTGCAAAAATTCAATTATTTGAATAATTGCAAAATTTCAATTATTTTCAAAAGTAAAAAAATTCTTTGCAAAAATTCAATAATGGTAAATAATCTTAAAAAAATCTCGTCAAAATTTCAATTATCTTTATAAATAATAAAATTCTTCTCCAAAATTCAATTATTTTCAAAAATTTTAATAAAATTCTTCCCAAAAATTCAATTATTATACAACTTTAATAAAATTTCATAAAAGAATTCAATTTTAATAAATCCTTCGAAAAAATTCAATTATTTTTATAAGTATAGTAAAATTCATAGTAAGAATTAAATTATATTTCATAAATAATAAAATCTTTTTATAAATTCAATTATTTTCAATATACAATTATTAAAAAAATTCAATTGTATTCAATAAATTAAAGAAATTTTTCGAAAGAATAACATTATTTTATAAAATTTTTTATAAAATTCAAGAATTCAATTAGGTATTTAAAAAAAAAATTAATAAAATTCTTCGTAAGAATTCAATTATTTTTGAAAATTTTAATAAAATTCGTTACAAGAATTGAATTATTTTAAAATTTTTTTTCTAAAATTCTTTGTATCAATTCAATTATTTTAAAAAAATTTGATAATTTTCGTGTGAAAATTTCAATTATTTTCAAAAATTTTTCTCAATTTAATGATTTTCAATATCTACTATTTAAATAAAAATTTCCAAAAGAATTCAATTTTTAAAAAAATTTTAATAAAATTTTGCACAAACATTTAATTATTTTCAAAAAATAATCAAAATTTCACAAGGAATACAATTATTTACTAATTATTTATAAATTTCTTCGCAATAATTTCATTATTTTCATAAATAATACAATTTTCTACAAAGATTCAATTATTTTCGTAAATATTAAAATTCTTTTTAGAAATTCAATTATTTTCATAAATAATAAAATTCATAGCAGATTTTCAATTATTTGTAATACAATTTTAATCAAATAAGAAAAATGTAATTATTCTTAAAAATTTTATTAAAATTCGTCAAAAGAATTTAATTATTTAAAAATTTTTTGATAAAATTTATTCTTTATGAGAATTAAATTTTAAAAAACATGCAATTATTCAAAATTTTGTTTTTTTTTATTTAAATAATTCAATTCTAGTAGAATTTTCAAATAAAAATTGTTTTAAAAATTTATTTCAGTTAAAATGTTAGATTACAATAATTAAATATTAAAGGCATCAGAATTTTTAGAAAATAATTTAATTTTTAAATGGTTTGAAATTAAAATTTTTGGAAATCTGAATTTTTCATATTTTTAACTAACAATTCTGTGGAATTAATTTTTTCTTTATTCTCTAATATGAGGCATTCCATGTCAAGTGATCCAGGTGTCTTACGGTGTAATGCTTATTTCGATAATTTTTTACTCTTAAACTATTAAACATAAAAATTTGGCAAGGTACATTTTGGAAAGGTTTTTTCATGCTCTTTCGATTGAAAATAAGCATTTAAAAAAAAAAAAATTTTTTGACCCAAAAAAATCAAAATTAAAAATAAATTTTAAAAACATAAACAAGAATGTTTAAACATTCTTGTCCCACTTTTTCATTTATATGTCCTTTTAGGAAAAAACCTCAGCTTTCGTTTAAAAAAAAAAAAAAAAAAAAAAATGGGACCTTTTTTCCAAAAAATTAAAATTTATTTTTAATTTTGATTTTTTTGGGTCAAAAAATTTTTTTTTTTTTAAATGCTTATTTTCAATCGAAAGAGCATGAAAAAACCTTTCCAAAATGTACCTTGCCAAATTTTTATGTTTAATAGTTTAAGAGTAAAAAATTATCGAAATAAGCATTGTACTGAAAAACCCAAAAATTTAACCCCCTCCCCCTCGGAAAATATTGGACTAGGTAAAAAAATATTTTCACGAAAAATTACTATCTATTAGTACTACAAAAGCCCCAAGTTTTGCTACGATTGGAGAAAAATTTTTCTCCACCCGGATCACTTGACATGGAATGCCTCATATATATTTAATTGAAGACTTTACGAATAATTGAAATTTTTGTAAAATTGAATTGTAAACAAATGAATTTGAAAATTCTCAAAGAACTTTTTTTTAAAATTCTTAAAAAATAATGAATTTATGGAAGATTTTTAGTTGAAAACAGGAAAAACAATTTAAGTTTAATAAAAATTATTGCAGAAATTAAATTATTTTCAATTTGAAAATAATTAAATATTGTAATCAAATTAAATATTGTTAAAAAAAATAAAATTCTTTTTAGGGATTCAATTATTTTTACAAATAGTAATAAAACTCATCGCAGAACTTCAATTATTTTTAATACAATTTTAATCCAAATCCTTCGTAAAATTCTTGAAAATGTTATTAAAATTCGTCAAAAAATTTCAATTGTTTAAAAATTTGTTCATAAAAAATTCTTTATGGGAATTGAATTTTAAGACATTCAATTATTTAATAAATTATTCTTTTGCATTTTATTTGTATTTAAATAATTGAATTCTAGTAGAATTTTTTAATAAAAATTGATTTTCATTTCATAAAAATGAATTTCAGTTAAAATTTTCGATAATAATTGAATATTAAAAGCAACATAGCGTGAATTTTTAGAAATATTTGAATTTTGAAATTAATTTCTTTTTGAAAAAGTTTAATTTGAAATTTTTTTAAATAAAAAAATTTAATTTTATATATAAAGGAAATAATAATATAATAATTTTTTTAATTTTTTAAAAATTTTTTATATTATTTTAAATTTTTATTTTTTAATATTTACTTGATTAAAGAATATTTACAAATAATTGAAATTTCGGAATCGGAAAATTGAATATTGAAAATAAATAAATTTGAAAATTGTCAAAGAACTTTTTCGAAAATATTTTGAACTGGCGTTACAACTTTCTATAGCATGCCACATAAAATGCTACAGTTCCCTTCAAAGTATACTCTCAGTTGATGTCTGCATGTTTTGGAGAGTATTTGTTATATGTCCATATACTGAGACATATATTGATAGTCATGGTCGTATTATGGAACCAATGAAAAATATCTGAGGTGCAAAGTCCAAAAGTCCAGTGCCTATCTGTAAATTCAGTTCAGTTCCTCTTCTCTCATCACTCACAGCTGAGGAATAAAATGTGTGTATTACTCTGCAATAAATTTTCTAACTCAAAATTTACCTAAATTCGAAATTTTTATTTTTAATTAATTTTACTACTTTTACCCATCTAGTTATTTATTATTATTATTAAATTTCTCATTTTTACTTATCAAATATACAATTGGGGTACAATTGTTAGGATTGTTAGTTTATAATTTTACCATTTGTTCCCCATGGATAATTTTAAATACCATATTTTTCAAGTGCAAGTGTTACATATACGAGGGATGTACCAAAAATTATATTCCAAATTTTCCAAATAGGATTTATATTTAAATTTTTGGTGCTTTGTGAATATTTATAGTTAGTGATGAGTTGTAATTTTTTTTTATATTCAGAAGTAACTGGTTACTTATGATAAGGTCGTTAACTTATTGTGTAGCCGGTTCTTGACTACGACAGAGACATGCCTATAGTGTCATCTCGCTCTCACCTAAGCGAGATGCTGGCTTCATTGAAATAAAATATATTCAAATAATTAACAATTAATTAAATAATTAACTATTATTCAAAAAATATTTTTGTGTATTAAATTTACAATGTCAGAAACTATATATATACAAAATTCCAAATTTGCAGAAAAAATTGCCCGGGAGTCAAAGTTAATGCAAATATTCTCCGGGGTCCATATTCGATCCGCCATTTTGAAAATTTTCTTTCAAGTTCAAATGATCAAAATTCGAATGATACAAAAAAATGATCCCTCTTTTAAAAATACTTCTTTATTCAAATGTTTTTTTTTTTTGAAACACTAACTGTTTCTTTTATAACTGATTTCAGAAATTTAACAAAATGGGAAGTACATTTGTGCCAAGGCTTTTGGTGAATCGAGTTTTCGTTTCCGATTTTAGAAAAAGTATAAGAAATATAATCCCGAGTAAAAATTATTATTCAAGTACGTATACAACAATTTTCGATATTATATATTTTTACTAATAAAAATTAATAATAAAACATCATATGATTTTGTTCATAATTTGTAAATTTGAATTGCAGCTGCAGCAACGACTAAAAGTTATGAATTCATAAAAGTTGAAACCGCCGGGGAGAAGAAAAATGTTGCTCTGATTACTTTGAATAGACCAAAGGCATTAAATGCCCTATGTGATAAATTAATGTCCGAAGTTAATGATGCAGTGAAAAATTTGGATAACGAAAATTCCATTGCCGCTATTGTTATTACTGGAAGTGAAAAAGCATTCGCTGCTGGTAGGAAATGTTTTTTATTTTTCGAATTAAATTTATTTTCTAAACTTTATTTAGAACTCCAATTATTATATAAAGGTCTATAATATAACAAAAAGAACTTCATTTAATTATAAAATTTCTATTTGTTAATTATTTTCTAATGTATTTTAGGTGCTGATATTAAGGAAATGCAAAATAATAACTATTCCGATTGTATTAAAAGCAATTTTTTGACTCACTGGAATGGTGTGTCTATAGCCAGAAAACCTGTTATTGCTGCAGTTAATGGCTATGCGGTAAGTCCATTTTTATTTTATTTAAGTACTATTTTTGTCGATAATAATTAAATTAAAAAATCATATAATAAGAATTAATTATCGGAGTGATAAGAGGACTATTTTATTTGCAAAATTTCCCCCAGAGTAAAATTTATAATTTAAGAAAGTTTTTCTAATTTTCAGCTTGGTGGCGGATGTGAATTAGCCATGATGTGTGATATTATTTACGCAGGTGATAAGGCAAGATTCGGGCAACCTGAAATTACGATAGGAACAATTCCAGGAGCTGGTGGTACTCAAAGATTGACCAGAGTTGTGGGCAAAAGTAAAGCCATGGAAATTGTTCTTACTGGAAATCAAATTAATGCCGAGGAAGCTGAGAAGAGCGGTAAGTTTTTTGTACTTTTCTTACTATTTTTTGTTTTTATTTTTAATTACTATATGCCATTTTTTAAATTGTTTTTTTAGGTCTCGTTAGTAAAGTATTTCCAGCAGATCAACTTGTCTCCGAGGCTGTGAAACTTGGCGAAAAAATTGCCAGTCATTCTCCACTGATCGTTGCAATGGCAAAGGAATCAGTTAAGAAAGGTACTTCCCCTATGATTTTATTAACTCTTTCGTGTAATAAATTTTACGAGGCCTTATACGGTTCAAGTAATTTTATTTATATTGACGACTTAAGTATCCTCTTCAGGTCAAAATTGAAATTAATTAATTAACAAACAGTCATTCAATCATTTTATCGAAAAAGAAAAGAAACACCTCATAAAGAGGGTTTCTAATAATTTATTATTAACTCTTTGTTCGAATAAAATCTATTTTTCTTGTTGATTATTAATTTTAAGTTCGTTATCCATTACTGCTATAGTATTCTCTTCCGTATGCTAGTGAATATTATTTTTTTTACTGTCCATTTCATCAATTTTTACCCTAACCCATTAGAACTTTCGTTTTAAATTTCTAAATTTTAAAATTAGAATTAAAAATTTTAAATTTGTAAACTAAATTCGAATTTTTATTGCAGCTTATGAAACAACTTTAGAAGAAGGTCTTCATTTTGAGAAGAGAATGTTCCATGGCACATTTGCCACGGTAAGTAAAATAAAAAAAATAAAATATTAATAATTCGTCCGCAAAGAAAATAATTATTTAAATATTTATTGGATTTGACTAAATAATTTTTATTCTTTAACAGGCTGACAGAAAGGAAGGAATGACCGCGTTTGTTGAAAAACGCTCTCCAAACTTCAAAAATGAGTAAATCCGCAGTTTCCAGTTTTCTCTTTTTTTCAATATACTCATCAGAATATCGCGTCTGAATTCCATCGTCTTTTTGATATTTTTTTAAAGTATATTTTTACAAAAAAACAATTTTTACCTACCGTTACTGTTACTGATTTTTAATTTTTTAACTGTTAAGAGAATTGTAACTTTTTTAATAAAAGCTATAAGAACTAAATATTTGTACGTTTCTTTTTTTAATTATATTTTTAATTTAACCCTCCTGCGCATACGTTTCAATGCAAATAAAAAATTTTTATTTTTTACAAAAATTTAAAAGTAATATATTGTTCAAAATAAATTGTCACTCTCTGAAAAATTCATTAATTCGTTAATAAATGTTAAAGAATGCGATGTAAAATTATTTCAGATATGGAACTCCATTCCTGTTGTTTATGTAAATTAATTTAATTATTTAATAAGGATATTTTTACTCTAAAAATCATTATGGTATGTAATCTAACCTATAAAAAGAATCTCACATGTGTTTGTATGTGTCATAACTGTTGTATTACTATTGTAGACCTGAAGATCCATGTTCATGGTGAAATGCATAGTGGAAGGAGTGGAAGTATTTTGGAGACAAAATTTACATTTTCTGGCGTAAAAATATTGATAGATTACTTAATGTTAATTTAAACAAAAGTTATTAACAAAAATGATTGGACGACTATATTCGGCTTTGTACGCAGGAGGGTTAATAGCAATTGTAGGAGGTTGTAGATTGTACTCTTAATATATCTAATAATACTCTCGGTAATATATTCTTATAATAAACAACACGACGTAAAACTTTTAAGCGTCAGGGAGAAGTAACGTCAGAACTATTTCCCAGCAAAAATTTCAAACAATTTCCGTTATTTTATTATCACCATAAACCACAAAGTATATAGATTGTACGATGGTATTTTCTCATCACAGTCAGCTCAATTCCCCTAGAAACAGTTTCTCATTGGTGGACAATTCTCTCAGATGACAGCAGTGAATTGGGCCTAATAATTATGCTCTATTCACTCCAATAAACCGAACGCATACAACACAATTTTTCTCCATCAAAGTTACCCATCTACACAAACCACATGATCCCAGGTGCTTATTCACAGCTGTAGCAATAAGCCTTTGCCTCTCAAAAAAAAGTATTGAAAAACAGTTAAGAAAAACTGTGTAGAATTTAACAACTTGTTGTTTAAAATTTCTTGATGAATATTCCAATAAATCACGTGAAAAATGGCAGATGAAAACGAGGATCAGTGGTTATACGGCGACTCTGTAGATAGTAAAGAATGTGCTGAACCAGCGGCTAATTCCATTATTGATGGAAACGATGCATCCTTCGAACCACAGGAAGATTCTTTGAATCTTGACAATGAAAGAAATGTCGAAAACGGCAATGCAACGGTAAGTGGCTAATAATTTTCGATTTCAATTTTTTTCAGTTCTTTTATTTTATTTTTTACTGTGCTAAACACTTGCTTCTTTTTAATTTCTCTACAATGCGATGACATCGTTGACATTACTGACACAACTTTATTACATACTCTATGCGTGATTTTATAGTATATAATTTGCAAAATAGTAAGTTTTATTAAAATTAAATTTTTTTTTGAATATTAGACTGAATTCAATAATAAATTTTTAATAAATATTTATTATTTCAACTTCAAATTTTTTTTAAGGTATAATAATTAAAAATTTTAGTTTTTGAGGTTAAATGATTGATTTAAACGCAGAATTTTTTCCTTTAAGAAAATAATTACAAACATGTTTACAAAAAAGAAAAATTAACGAAAAATTCCACTAAGAGAAAATTTTAATTCAATTTTTTTATTTTTCATTCTTTAAAAATTAAAAAAAAACTTCTGTACCCTCATCGAATTACTTCAAACCTTTAATATTACATTTATTTTTATTAAGTTTCAGAAAATTAACTTTTTAATTTAATTTTTTTTATTGTATTTTATAAATAAACAATTGTTTTAATTGTTTATTTATAAGATACAATTATTAAAAAGTAAATTTAAATTTAATTATGTAATTTATTTTTAAATTTATTTAATATTTAATTATTTAAATTATTTAAATCTAAATTACAATTAGAAAAAGATAAATTCTAATTTGTATTCTTTACATTCTTATGATTTTGAATAATTTCAGATTTAAAATTTAAAAAGTTCACTTATAAGAAAAAAGTTTATTATTATTTATTAAAGATTTTGAATAAAATTCTTGATAAGAATTAAGTTATTTTCAAAAAATAATTCTTGATAAGATTTAAATTATTTTCAAAAATTTTAATACAATTCTTTGGAAAAATTCGATTCTTTTTATAAATAATAATATTTTTTGCGAGAATTCAATTATTTTCAATACAATTTTAATTAAATTTTCTCTAGAGAATTGTCGATAGGGCAATAAAACTTTGGAATAAAAAATTTAATAATAAAAATATTGAATTTGTCGAAAAAATGCTAATTAATAATAATTATCCCATCGAATTTATTAATAAACACATTAAGAAACGCATTTGCTTTATTGAATCAAATTCACAAAGTAACAAAAGTAACTCAGTTTACTTCATGATTCCTAAACAATTACAACATTCTAACTATCCCAACCAACAATAAGAACATGAATCACAACTTGGTAATAAAAGGAAAAGATAAGAGTAAAAAATCTGAAATCACAAACTCAGTATATAAAATAAGATGCAAAAACTGTTCTGCATGTTGGACAAACTAAAAGAATGGTGGGTGTTCGTATTAATAAGCACAAAATTTCAAAAACAAATGTTGTTGCTGAACATAACAATTCACTTAATCATGATTTTGATTGGGAAACATTTTTAATACTAGATAAAGAAAGTTCATTTAAAAAAACGCTTAATTTCTGAAATGATCCACATTAATCTACAAAAAAATTCGATTAATAAGAAAGATGACACATTAAATCTTAGTAGCTATTATATTCATTTTCTCAACGAGAAGAAGGGAATTGACCCCGAGAATTGTACAACGTTCATTCGTATTCGTCTCTATTTGATTAGTGTCATATTATAATCGTAGCGACGAAGATGTACTGTCTTAATTTATAATTTTAATATTTTAATTTTCTCTTTTTTTCGCTAAATACTTTATTTTTTAATTTTTATTGTTTTAATTAGCAAATTGTAAAATTTTTTTTTTAATATTTTGTTATATAATAAATTTTATAGTTCTAGAGAGGACAGCTGTGCTGCCGAAACGTAAAAAGAGTTGAATTTCTATTTATTTTAATTTTCCTTGACTCAGAGTGATCGTTAAATTACATACTTGTATCAATTTGAAATTATATTTAAATGCTGTAATCTAAATAACATCAGCAGAGGGTTAAATTAAAAGTATTTTATAAAAATAAATCCCACCCTTCTTATATAGTAAATATATTCGATTTTAACAAATCAAAAATTTTTCAGAATCTTTCTGAAGGCTTGAGTACATTAGAGCGTGAAGAGCAATCGGACTTAAACGATTCAAATATCGAAGATACGGAAGTAAATAAAAATGGAACAAAAGATGACGTCAGTCAGGAAGATGGTGACGCAGCAAGTGATTCTGATTCAGATGACGATGTCCACGTCGTTATTGGTGACATTAAATCAGCACCCACCTACAGTAGTTTAAATATAAAACGAAGTGGTCTCATCACTTCCAGTAATGTACCTGAAAAAATAAATAAACTCCCAGGCAAATTTAGTATCGATGAATTCGAGACAATTGGCGTGATCAATGGCATTCCCGCACATGAATTTAATCTCGATCAATTGGAAGATAAACCATGGCGACAACCCGGAGCCGATATCACTGATTATTTCAATTATGGTTTCAATGAAGAAACATGGCGAGCATATTGCGAACGTCAGAAGCGTATGCGAAGTGAATCGGGTGTGGGTTTAATTTTAAATGCCGGCAGTGGTGTTGGTAATACTGGTGGTTTAGGTTCGAGAGTGCCACAAGTGACGATCACTAATTACAATAGTAAATATTCTGGTATTATGGGTCCAAAGAGAGCGGGACCACCGCCTGGGAGGAAAATGGCCGGAACTATTGATGTTATTGGCAGTACTGGCTTAGCATCGCGGCGGAATCTTGATAAATCGCCACCAAAGGAGAATGTCATTCAGGTTATGACTGCTGATCGAAGGGAGTACTCGAGAAAACCGGGATTTCCTGATATGAGTGTTCCACCGCCGGTGACTGTACCGCCGGCATTTGATATGCCACCGCCTGGTTATCAGGAACCGGCTCCGTACTTCGTTCCCGAGGTCGATCCTTATTATCAGAGTTATGAACCTACACAGGATAGACAATGGGGTGATCCGGTAAGTAAAAAAAAACGGAAAAACAAAATTAAAAAATATTTTTTTTTCCAAATGATAGATTTCTCCTTTTTTTCCAGACATGGCAATCGGCTAATTTATCAATTCCATTAGCTGATAATGGTGACAAGGAACCAAATCCAAAGCCAATTTCAACAATGATTCCACCTGTTTCAATGTCGCCTATAATGTCGATGCGTGACCAGAGAGATGGAAGAGATAGGGATAGAGAAAGGGATTGGGATCGCGATCGTGATATGGAAAGTTTATCGCGAAGTCGTGATCGAGAGAAGGATAGAGATCGTGAGAGAGAGAAAGAGTCAATGGTAAGAGAAAGAGAAAAAGAATCTGTTGCAAGGGATGATGATCGTGAAAGAGACCGAGAACGCTCGCATTATCGCCATAAAGAAAGGTATTGTTTTTTTTAATTCTTCTTTATGCAACTATCTTTTAATAATACTATTTTTATTTTTTTTTTATTTTATTCATTGTTCTTCTTTGAATATTTTAGACATCGACATCGATCACGTTCAAGATCACGTAGACACAAGTCCAGATCACGAAGTCCAAGCCGAAGAAAGAAGAAGTCAAGGCGATCGGAGAGAGAACGATCAAAGGAAGATAGTGAATAAAATATATAATTTTAAGTACACTTATTTTTTTGTTGGAATATAAGGCTCTTTTTTGTTTTACGACTTTTTTTTAACAGTAACACAAAAAAACATTGTTTATTAAAAAAATCAAATGGAGGAAATAAAAAGTTTAAACTTTATAATTCTCTTTTCTTTCAGCATTTAATATTAGTGAAAAGAAAGGTTATTGGAAAAAAAAATTAGTGGAAAAAAAGGTTATTGGAAAAAAGAATTAGTGGAAAAAAAGGTTATTGGAAAAAAAATTAGTGGAAAAAAGGTTATTGGAAAAAAGAATTAGTGGAAAAAATGGAATGGATAAACTGGTGTACAATCGTATAAAAGTGTTAAATTGAAGAACACTTAGCAAATGCAAGTGCGTATAAATAATAATAATTTAAAAATTAAAACTTTGTTCGTAAAATATCGAATAAATAAGAGGAAAAATTTAAAGTTCGACATATTGGATACGCCATTTTGAATTTTAAAAAACTGTTTTTTTACCTCGAATTCGAAATCAGCACCCCTAAAACATTTTTTTATTTCCTGGAGCTTAAAAGGGTTTATAGTAAATTTAGTTATTAAAGAAACAAAGTACATTAGTAAAAGACTAAATTTATAGTAAAATATCCGATTTATAGGTTGTTCGTAAATAAAGTTTTTTTTTATTAATTAAAACTTAAAGAGACATTATTAAAATATGAAAATTAGCACTCGAAAAATTCAACGAACATTATTGGCCTCTATTTCGTATATAATTACATTTTTTTCGATTCCAAAACAAAAATTAATTATCTCAAACATATATATATATATAGATGAAGGAACTTATCCTTATGCACGCACTATTTGCCGCAGCACAGTCCATACATACATACATTAATATATATTGTCCCGTGTTTGATTACATCAAAAACCATGTTTTTATCACTCGAAAATATTTATAATAAAATCTTTTAAAATCTTTAACAAAAATAGTAAAAAATCGAAGTAGAAATTTGAAATCTTAAGTTTTACATAATACGTTTATATTTAACTATTTTTTTGACACTTAAGTGCACCTCAATTTTTTTGTAATTCGATGTTTTTTTTCGTCTTTTAATAAAAATGGAACTGGTCTCTAGACAATTGTGCGCCCAGAGGAAATATTGTTACCTAAATACCAAAATACAAGAATCTTTGAAAATAACTTTTTTTTTTAAGTATTTCAGTCTTTCTATTTAATTTCTTTTTTTGACACATTGAAAAACAATTTAAACGTTGTAATAACAAAAATTTTGATTAAACATTTTGACAACTAATCAATATTGATTCTTGCCCTTAGATTGACATTTATGATTTAGAATCATTTAATTATAAGAAAGTAATACTTATTTAACGAAAACTTTTTTTCTTCAAAAAATGTTAAAAGAACAGTCTTATTTTAACTCTCTTATGTCTGTAAATATTTATAACCTTTTTTTAGTAAAACACAAAGCATTCACAATTTCTACCGCTCACAAAATTGTCATACGTATCATTCGTTATTTTTTTATGTCTTCGTCGACTCACTAACAATAATTTATTTACAAGTAAATTACGCTTGCTTTAGATGGAGTTTTAAGGCAGTGTTTCTTTTTTTTGGCTAGTATCTTTTCTTTTAGGTCGTTTAGCAACTCGCAATTCACTGTTTGCACTTTCATGTAATATCACTGGTTTTGTGGCACTGAAATTCAAAGTGACTTTGTTTTAGTTCGTCAGAATAATGAATAATGAAATAATGTACTTAGATAATATTTTGAACATTTAGGGGAACAATTTCAAAGCCAGGGCCCAAGTTGTGCTTCAAGAATAATTGCAGCGTCACTTCTGCCCATGACCCTTAGATGATTTAGTAGGTCCGTTACGGCAGTTGGTGCTCGATGTCTTGCCTCCCACAAGTCTAAAATATGCTCCGTTGGACTCACTTTAGTGGCGAAGTAATTTATATATCTGAAAGAGAACATTATAAATAATACTATGCAAAACTTTTAGAATAAGACAGACTTTTCAATCGAAAGTTAAATAAATGTTTAGTGTCCACAAATTTAAATAGAAACATTATTGAAAAAACATTTATGAAAATTGCATCAACAGTTTTCAGTAGGTTCGCTTACCTGTCGACTTGAAGCATTTGCGCCAGCATCCTCCAATCATTACCAAGCGCATTCGGTGGATCGAGACATTGACAAAGTTGCTTTCTAAGAGATTTGGTGAAGCGGAATGGCCGCAGAGTTGCCGAATCAGTAACAGCACTGTTCGCATGTCCACTACTTACGACAGTGACTTCTCTAAGCGGTCTAGTGATACTTCCCGAAGAAATAAGATTCTTCATTCCATCGTAGAATATCTTGAACATTTGCTTACTATCCGAATTACCCTGAAACACCTGAAGTTTATAGCATCTCATGGATAGATTTTCAGCTGTTTCTAAATCAAAAGTCACGTTTTTCTTATTTTCCGCTCCATTCCAGATGGTTTTGAAAGAAATTTCATGTGTTCCGACTGGAATCTGTTCGTCAGTGCCAATTTCCTCTAATTGAATATGTAGCGGTTCGCCATTATCTTCAAAGAGAATTGTCCTCGGTTTGTCTAGAATAAAAGTTTTCACTTGTGCCTCACGGTCGATGACTGTTTTCATGGCAGCTTTTGTATCTTCAATTACGTATACGCGAATGTAGGATTCACCCGTTTGACTGGCGAAGAGAAGTAATTTCAATCTCTTTGTGGCTGTGGAATTTTTGCAACTCTGACCGGCGAGAATGTAGACCCTTAGCTGATCGGTTACTATAAACGCCTCCGAATGATCGAGTTGAGTGAAGAGAGGGGTGTTGATGGTTTCACTTCCTAATGTCAGTACTCGTTCCCACTGAATTATGGATTCTTCCTCTATCGTTGAGGTGAAGTTTATTTCGTCAATATCCATACTTCTTGAGGCCCATATGCTCAATTCCCATGTTGTCGAATGCATCATTGCGCAGTGTTCGAATTGCAGAATTACGGGTTTGTTGAGGGCCACAGACGATGGACCGCATGCAACAACAGCCGAGAGTTGAGTTATTCCATCTGGGAATTAAAAGTTTCGATTTAAACCCCTAACTGAACCCCTAACTCCAATTTTTCGCAATCCATAATTTTTCTAATTCTAGGGATCCTTAGAAGCTACCCTCACAACAAAAGGAGATCCTAACTTAAGATCTCCTTTTCCTGTGAGGGTAGCAAAAGGAGATCCTAACTTAAGATCTCCTTTTCCTGTGAGGGTAGCTTCTAAACTAAAAACTATTTACCAACCTGGTAGTCGTGGTCTGAACCGATCTTCATTGAGCACTGCCAGATAAAGCTTCTCCTTCAAAGGTTTCGAAACAGCACCTTCGGGAACTGACATAGAAATACCGGAATCAGTTAAGACCAAAAGAGCACCCCTCGAATTAACAACAGCTCGAGCAATATTTTCAGTTTCCAATTTCGGTGGCATTAGACTTTTGTTTGAAATATTGTAACTGAATTCCGATGATGAATAGGAACTGGTGGCGCTATTTTCACTGTCCGAGTGAATTTGCTTATGACTGGAGAATTCCTGGGTAGAAGTGCTCGGAGTGGGTGAAATGGAAGATGATTGCAGTGGTAATGATAGGTGGGGAACGTCATAATGATGCTCTGATGATGAACGTGACATTGGTAATTTTGGATCGAAGGGATATTCATAGCAGGCTGGTACACCCGTGAGTGCAACGTCGGGTTGCATACTCAATTTTTTATCCTGATCCGAGAAGAATTGCGGATTGAATTCTGTAAACAGGTTTTTAATTTTTACATTCAAGATAGTAACGAAAAAAAAGTTGTTGTAAAAATTAGAAAATATGTCAAGTTTACATACCGTTATGAGTCATTGAGTAGAGTGAATGGTTGTGGGCCTTACGACGAAGTAGTTTGGCGAGGAAAAAAATCAATCCACTCGTGATAAGAAATGTCACGGTCAGACCTATATGAAACGCCACATCCATTTCTCGATTGCCTGGGAAAAATTATAATACTCGTACTACTGTTTTCTTATAAACTTTTAAGTTAACTTTAACGTTAACTTGAACTTTAAAGTTGATGCTAAGATATTTCAAAACTCACCTTTCTTAGAAGACTCAACTCCCAATTTTGTGGCATCAACTAAAATAACACAATTTGCTAATTAAAAAAATCTGCTGATTTTTGAATTTCCAGTAGGAGATATTTACAATATCCTAAGGATTCTGATCCATATTGAGAAATTTATGGATAATTAGATAATTAAAGGTGATGAAATCGAAAGATAGTAAAGAAGTTGACTAACCATTGCACATTCCGTCGGTGCAATTTGTGATGGTGATATTCTTCCCTTGACAGAGACGACCTCCATGACTTGGGGAGGGTTCATCACAAGAACGTCTTCTTACATGAGTACAATCACTTCCACAAGGTGACCACGCGGACCATTTAGACCATCCGCCATCCACAACTGCAGCAAAAAGACAAGATTTCTTCAGTTCACAATTATTAATTTATAATCACCAAATATAACAGATCTCAAATTTGAATACCATCAAAGTTAGTTTTTGGAGACGTCTGTAAATTTAGAATATTAATTAATTATTTCTCTCCAGTCTAATGAAATCAAAAGATAAATCCGGTACATATTTAAGGAGTTTCTCAAATTAATAATTCAGTTCGTCAGTCAGGTCCTTACACTGCACAATAATAGTGAAAATGAGGCAAATCTAAAACATCAAGTTTCGGACAGATTGGACTTAGGGAATGGAAGTATTGAATAGTGAATAAGTTGATTAAAATTTCACGCCAGAAATATACTGCGACAAGACAATTATCATAGCATAAGTCTTATTAACGTTCATCTGAAAATAATTAAATTTCCTCCTATCATAAACAGCATTAGCATCCAAAAAATCATTGAGATGCGTGTAGTGACAGTAAGATAGTGTACTTTTCTGTTATTACGGACCTAGAATAAACGATTCAAGGTAAGTTGAAATTTTTTTTTTCCTATGAGTAAAGTGGTTTTTGAAACCTTAAACATTAAAATTCTGCTCACCGCAAGATGCCTGTCAACAGAGTAGAGTAGAAATAGTTGTCTTGGTGAGTAAGTCTAAACCAATGTTCTTCGGAGCTTTCACAAAATCGTTACAGAAGTTTCGAAAAAAAATTATTGTGATGATAATCTAATTTAAAACTTCAACTACAGCCTATCGACAGAGTACATCAGAAATAGTTGTCTTGGTGAGTAAGTCTAAACCAATGTTCTTCGGAGCTCTCACAAAATCGTTACAGAAGTTTCAAAAAAAATTATTGTGATGATAATACAATTTAAAACTTCAACTACAGCCTATCGACAGAGTAAATCAGAAATAGTTGCCTTGATGAGTAAGTCTAAACCAATGAATGTTAGCCGGAGCTATCGAAATTTTTTTAAAGAAGTCTAAAAGAAATTATTTTCATAAATAAAATATGTCAAAATAAAGTTCAAAGTATACCCTTTACATGTCCATTAATTTTTAAATTGAAATACTCAATAGTTTTCTCAGAAAAATCCCTAAAATATCGACCTTTTAGTTGTCTTGATGAGTAAATCTAAACCAATGTTAGCCGGAGCTCTTGCAAATTCTTTACAGAAGTTTAAGAAAAATTATTTTCACAAATAAAATATGTCAAAATAAAGTTCAAAGTATACCCTTTGCATGTGCATTAATTTTTAAATTGAAATTCTTAATAGTTTTATCAGAAAAGTTCCTAAATTATCGACCATTGAGGTTGCAAAATAAAAGCGAGTTTCATGTCATTATCTATAAAGTTTTGTCGTTTTTGATGATGTGGTTTATCTTCATCAGGTTAATTTACTTATAATCACGAGTCTATTATCGCGCAATTTATATTGACAAAAAGAAAATAATTTAATATCCAATCACTGAGCGGTTATTGATCAAATCTTGTGGGATTTGCTTAATTCAAAAAGCTTAAAGTTCACCTTTATCTAAAAGTTAAAAGTTTTGAGAAGTTAATTAAAGAGAGATCTTAAAATCCGTAAATACAAAGTTTAAAGTCCATATTGATTTTTTTCTATGACATTTTTATTTGTTACAATTTGACTTAAGATTTGTAAGCAGCAACTCCAAAATAGTTTTTTTTGTCTTACCAGGACAGTTTGTGCTGCAATCATTTCTCTGTTGTGCGGGACCCAAACACGGTTGTCCACCGTTCATGGGAGCGGGATTGCTACATGTTCTCGTTTTTTTTTGTCCACCTTTTGCGCAACGAGAATGACATTCGGACCATGATGACCATGCAGACCATCCTCCATTAACTAAAAAAGAGAAAAAAAACCCTATTTTGCTTTGAACTGTAAATTTTTTTTAACTATTGATGTATTTTTAATTTTAGTCAAAACTGAAAATTTAGCTATAGGAAATTTGAAATTCACCATAAACTGTGAGACTAGCAAGATCACTGAGACGTTTAGCGGCAATATTTTCAGCCACGCAGGTATAATTTGCTTGATGACTTAATTTTGTTTGTCCAATTAAAAGATGCCCTTCGCTAGATACCAGCAAAGTGTCAGCATTTAAATCAAGTTTCACTCCATTTTTCAGCCAATAGACTATTGGCGATGGAACACCACTTGGTGGAATGCAACGGAGTTCAGCTCCTTGGCCGGCTTCCACAGACTGAGAATATGGGGGCGATTCGAATTGCTTCTTTAAGTCTGTTAACGAGAAAAGAAAATAAATTTTACTTCACGGATTCAAATAAGCTAAAGTTTGCAATTTGTGGCCATCTAAATTTATCTAGACAGTTGAATTCTAAAGATTTCATAGATATATGGTAATTTAAAGCTATAAAATTGCGAAAGTAATTGGGTACTTTGGCAAAATATTAGAGTATCATTTTGAATCTTTCGACACTTTTTCAAAATAAAAATTATTGTTTTTTTTCACTTTCAATACTTACAAGCAACGTCGATTGTTGCCGGTTGACTTTTGATTTGACCAGAGCCCGACCAGGCAATGCATTCACACTTAAATTTATTCTTTCCAAAATACTCTTCAATTTGATCCCTAGTTATGTTCAATTCACATTCAACTATCCGTATTCCAGTGTGTGGATCAACAAATGCAGTTTGAAGCGATTCCTCTGTTCTAATGCCATTGCATAAATAGAAAATTTGCAATGCATGAGCTGCTTTACAGTGAAGGGTTGCTGGTCTGTTTTTGATGACAAATGCATCTAACGGCTCAGTTAGGAAAACTGGCAAATGACCGCCGCCTTCCGATATAAATTCAGTGTCAGTTGCTATTGTTGCCGAGACAGTGTCGTCCTCCTCTAATAAATAAGAATCGTCATCTTCGCTTGCTGAAATGGCAAACAAAAAAAAGAAGGATAAAAATTAATAATTCTAATTTATATTTTCAATTTAACATCTTTGGTAAAAATTTTAGTTTCAAAAAAGATTCAAATACTCATTAAAATTAGGCCAACTTCTTAAATATACTCTTGAACCCCAAAAAATTACTAATAATTTTCCCTTTGTCAGTCAACACCCATTTCATTAGAACCTAATTTGGAATACAAATTTCAAAATTCAAGGAGCTGACAAAATAAATTATTAAAAAAAAATTGAAAAAAATTTTTTTTCCCTTCTCAAAAAGATGTTAGTGAAAAAAAAATGTTTGAAAAATTGTCAGTCACACATGTGGAACCACTTAAATTACTGAAGAGTGATAAGGTCATTCCATTATATTTCACGCACTCAAAGTCTTTGCGAACTATTTTTAGAAAATTTTGATACTTTTTGTTTATGAAATGATCTGGAATATCTTCATACGTGTAAATTTTTTTTTCCTATTATTTAAGAGTTAAAATTTGTCTCAATCTTATATATTTTAATATTTTGAAATTTGCAAGTGAAGAAAGGGGGATTTTCGAAAATTTTGAAAAATATTACTAAAAATTATCAAAATAGAAATTGTGCCCATGATTTATTTCTAAAAATCAAATTTTTAAAAATTTAATTAAAAAAATTATATTGATAATGTTCAGTTATGTAATTGATTTCTAAAATTCATAAGAAAAAGAAAAAAGACAATAATAGCTTCAGGAAGATATTATTGTTAATAACATGATGAGAATGTTAGGCATTCAAGGATTAAATGTCAGTCGAAGGGGAAAGTCATGGTGCATGGAAATTAATACTGCAACATTTTTGAGAGTCTTCGGATCCCATGTGACTCACTTCCATCAAGCATCTTAGAAACTTATTTCTATTCTTATATATTCTCATCGCCACCTCATATATTTTTACACCATAACTCAATATACCAACCACACTAACATACATCACGACATCAATATAACATTCTCAACTTCCTCGCTAACAATCTTATTCTCATATATTTTCTTCAAAAAAAAAAAAAAAAAAAAAAATCTCCCATTAACAATTTTATCCCCTTTTTGTCATCTACTAAAAGCATTACGTCATATGCATATGTTAAGTGTATATGGCTATATATTTTACTATTCCCTCCCTAAAAGAGCACCTTTTCTTGTTTAACTTCCCTTTTCTTCAATCCAAAATTCCTTCATTTTCACAATTCCCATTTCCTACGTTGCGGTACAAAGTTTATTAAACTTTTCCGTTTTCCCTCTTCCCAACTTTATACTCGCACTAAATTATTTGTTTCACAAGTTTTTACCTTATTAGATAGAAAAATCCAATAAACTTTATTCTCTTCAAATACCCAAGGAGGGAAAAAATTATTATTCATACATACTTTATTCAAAAATTATGCGCACAATTTTTATTCTTATTTCGAGAAAAGTCAATTTAAGTAAAATGGTGACTTAAAAATAAAGTGCGTAAATATAATCCTACATCAAAATTTTAAAAATTTAAAAATTGATAGGTATAAAATTCAATTCTTGGGGAGAATTTTATTAAAATCTAAATGAATAATTGAGTTATTTAAAAAAAAAAATAATTAAAATTGTGTATTTAAAATAATTGATTTTTTTCGAACAATTTTATTTTTGTCAATGTTCATGGTTTACCAAAATTTGACCACAGTTCAAATTTATAATTTTTCAGTATTTTTAAGTACTTTTGTTAGCCACGGTTTACTAGATTTTAACCACATTTAAAATATAGATTATAGAAGTTTTTAGATTTTTTAAAATATTTTTGTTGTTTGCCATGGTTTTCTAAATTATAACCATAGAGAAAACATAGAAATTTTTAGAAACTCTAGTTTCTTAATTTAATTCTAATTCCTAGAATTTTAATTGAAACTCATAGAACTGTATATAAATATTGAAAATTTCAAAGTGAAGTAACAATCTATTTCCATAGATTACAAACTATATTCAGTTACTTTTCAATTCTCTGGTGTAGGAGTGTGTAATAATCCGTCGAAATGATACCAGCATAGGTACTCAAAAATAAATTATGGTTTTAGTGCATAAAGCCTACGATATCTATATTCAATAGGAAATGTGAGCAAACTAATAAATCACACTCCCTTAAATTATATATCAGCCTAATCTGCGCAAAGCTTAGAAAGGGCTTCGGCGGTATTAACCGGCAGTTCCTAAAATAGATATTTAAAACTTTGTCCTCAGTATATTAAACTCACTGTGTGCGCACCTTCCCTAAGTCACAAATATTTGACAACTCTAGACAAAAAAAAATTCTATTTTTACAAAAAGACCCAGTGAAACATTTTTTCCAAAAGCTAGCTTTTTTCTTTTTTGTCAAAATTTTAATTGTCTTCTAAAGAAACTAAGCGTAGGCGGTAACGTAATGTATCAATTTAGTGCTCCATGTTATAATTATTTTTGCTGCATAAATCTGTCCAGTAGGTCCTCTTTAAGACTCATTTATCTTTCACTGATGAAAGAGAAGCAAATATTTAAAGAAGCTTCATTTTCTATAAGCCAAACACTTCACAAAAACGTTAAAAATAATTTACTTTTCAAGAGGTTTTTTTTTCTTTTTTTTTTTTGAGGAAAAAAATAAAACTATTAGTACAATACTATGAAAAAATTGTAAGTTATTCAAAAAGAATCATTTTATTCATTCATTTCATTTCATAATGTCGTTATTTATTTTTCTTAACCCAGTTGTGACAGTTTCTATCTGTCATAACAAATAAGTTTCTCCTAAGCTTCAGTGATTTAAACGCTCTCCCTCCAGTATCAAAAAAATTTTACTAATACTGCCTAAAATATCTATTTGGAATGTTAGCATGTCCACACATGAAGAAATATTGCTTATTGTCAATCGTAAGTAGGGGAGAGATGGGGGACTATATGGTTAATACAAATGGAATATTTTCGATGCGGTTGATCATTGAGATATGGGGGTCCCCAAGGGGAATAATGTTGAACCTGTTGCGACATTGTTAGAATTCATTCTCTTTTAGCCTTATTCAGGTAAAAATTATAATTTTTTTTTAATATGGCTACAAAAATTAAATTATAAATAAAGGAATAATTATTCTTACAAAATTTTATTAAAATTCATCAAAAGAATTCAATTACTAAAAAAATTTCTTGATAAAATTCTTTATGAGAATTCAATTTTAAAAAACTTTCAATTTTTCAATGAATTCTTTATTTTTGTATTTAAATAATTGAATTCTCGTAGGATTTTCTATTAAAAATTGATTTAAAAATTAATTTCAGACATTTCAGTTAAAATTTTAGATTATAATCGAATATTAAATGCGTCATAGTATGAATTTTTAGAGATAATTGAATTTTTAAAAGGTTTCAAATTAATTATTAAATAATAATCTAAAGTGACCAATGAGTGAAGAGTCACCCAAATAGGGAAAATTCAATTAAATGAAAATTCGTGAACAAAATAAAAAATAAAGTTGTGTGAATAAGATGAGGAATTAAATAAAATGAATCGGTTTTTAATTTTATTTTTTTCCACCCTGAAAGGTTATCTCTGCCCATTGAAGTGTTATCACTTTTACAGTATATTTCGCACTTTAATATTTGCTAAGAAATATGATAATGAAGTTAAATGCTAAATGCTATTAAAATTTATTAATTTTTTATTTTGATTTTTCTTTTTTTAATTTTTCAACATTAATTTATTATGAATATTAATAGTTTTTTAATATTAATATTTTTATTAATATTAAAAATTTATTTATGACCTTCACATATTATTTTTCGAAAAAAAAGTAAAATATGAAATGTCATTTGCATTTAAACTGAATAAATTAATATTTATTCATTAGAATCTGCCGATATATGTTTTAATTCCCTTTTGATGCTTATTCATCTGTACGCATTGAATTCCCTTTATAACTTTTGAAAAAAAAATGTTGGTAGCGTAGCCAATTGATATAAATTAAATGAGTCAATGCAATATGTATATAGATGAAAATAACTTGAAATATGATTAAAATTCACAACGCTTTCAATTTCAAACTAATTTCATTTCTTTTAATTTGTTCACAATAAGTTTAATGTATTTTAATTAACCTCGCTGCGGTCAGGATTAATTAAATGTGGTAATACGTCATTAAGTAATAATTATTATTAGAAGGCCAGAAATAATTTATCAAAATTATCAGCTTCAACTCTTGCGAAACGGGTCAAATAGATGGATCATCATAAGTTTCTTAGGGTCATAGTAATTTTGGGATTAACACCGAGAGAAAATATTATAAATTTTTATTTATATTTTATAAATTATTATAAAATATTAAATTTTGTTTAAAACTCCCCCCAAATTTTTACAATCTAGGAAGAAAAAGTGTAACAAAGGACAATTTTTATATAAAAATACTAAACATTTACAAAACTTATATGTGAAATATAGTAAAGTTATAATAAAATTTAATTAATCCTCAATATTTGGTATATAATATTATAATAAATTTCATATAAGTTTTTTTAATATTTAGTATTTTTTATGTCAAAATTTCGCTTTGATACATTTTTTCCCAATTTGTAAAATACTTTTACAAAATTTAATATATTATTACAGCTAATGTTTATTTTAAAAAATATTTATTTTTAAAACTAAAACATATATTATTCTTTACAATACATTTTCATAGGGTTTTAAAATATTAAATGCAGAATTAATAATTAATATTTCAATTTAAATTCATTAAAAATTTAAATTATAAATTTCAATAACGAAATTTGCAATTCCTTCGAAATTTGAAGTTTTTAGGAGCTTCCCCCTTGGGAGTAACAGATGTGCGATTAAACTATGTATGTGTCATCACTAACTCTTGTGAAACGTTCCGCTATAGCTTAATCATCTTCCTTCTAGACAAAGTGATAATACATATACAGTATAAAGATTTATTCCACAAATATACATTTTT